CAGAGATATATAGGAAATAAAAAACATTATAAAATTATGGACATCTGGTATTGTCATACAAAAAACAATGTCACTCTTTTTCCTAATATGATTTATCATTAACATTGCATTAAGTGTTCAACATAGATATATCAAAATATACAGCACACTCTGGATTTTCTCACTATGTATACTAGATTAAAAACAAAAGAAGTTTAGTAAAGAAAAAAAACACAAGAAAAGATAATGAGAAATTTCAATTAATTCCAACTGTAATTTGAAATCAACTGAAATTCATCTATACCTTATAGTTGATCATGATTTTATCATCTAACGAAATGTCTTCATAATGGAGAGGTCTCATAGAATTTATTTGACAACATAATGCATCGATAGTTTGTGTGAAATTATTCAACGACAACGATAAACAAAAATCATGGTTGTTCTAGTTTTAATTAAATCAGCTTTTTTTGTGCGTCATACATCTTAAAGAATGTCACAAAAGTCATGAGCGTAATATGATTTTCCTTGTGTTCAATATTATTGGAACTATATAGAAAAAAAATTTCAGACCTACTTTAATATTGTTCTAATGAAAGATAAATTTAGATTTCCTTTTCCAGGCTAAGTATATGTCTTTTTTTTAATAACAACATCTATAAATCCTGGAATCTACTTTGACAAACGATATCATGGATCTGTCATCATAATTGCAATAGTCTAACACTAGAACACTTAATAAATAATATATACACAAAAATTTTAGTAGTATTAAAAAGTAAAGAACAGATATTAAAACTGGATTAGTATTGATTGTTTTATTAAAACTTATAAACACATTGAAATGTGAGCAAAGCTTTAAAATGACTAAGACAATAATAATTAGTTTCTTCTGCTATGTATCATCGATTTTAGCGACAAAGTTCCAATTTTATCTTTTATAAAGCACTTTTTAGGTGTTTCTTTTCTGTGTGTTGAATTTTCTACTTATTTGAAAATATTTTTCGTAAAAGTAAGCATATTAACTCGACATGTTTGCAAATTTGATGTTGTAAGTCGACTATTTATGTTGTTTCTGAGATATGCATATCACACAAATCAGGTGATTTTATACGAACAAACTTCTTTGAAATAGCTAAATCCGAGAAAAAGGAAATAATACTTGTATCGAACAGTTTTCATTGGCACCCTTCAAACGGTTCGTATGATCAACGTATTTCAGAGTGAACATAGTCCCAAGTACTTATTGCAAGCTGAGTGAACGCTCAATCGGTAGAACAATTGAATACTAATTAATAAAAAAAGAGTAATATTTTTAGCTTAGCAATATATTTCGTATTGAACTAAATAGAAAAAAAACAATTAGCACTCTTTGTAACCAATAAAAAATTTTCCTCAGTACTAATCTGCTATAGCTCATAATACTCATCATGAGAGTTCTAAGTGTTTGCAAGATATCTTTTGTATCCTGAGCATATCGATATCGTGAACAAAATCGACAGAATCTATGTTTACCATTTCCATTTTATGGAACTCACATATATTTTTGAAATAGTGAGTATCAGTTTTAAGCTCGATTTTTTTGCAGCTTCTCTCCACTGCCCATCTCTTTAGTAAAACATATGACAACACGAGAGAACATTACAGACATACTCCTCTATTACCGACATCCCCATTACAGACCTCAGCAATCGCATACAAAAAAAACTTGAGCTTTATTTAGTAATAAAAACATAAGAGTGGAACAATATGAAGAATATAAGTTTGAATACTATACAGCATTTCCAAGGTTTTGATAGTTATTTTAAAAAACTAATGTACACTTGCTAAAGTTCTTAATCCTATAATTGTTTATTAAAAATCAAGAATAAGGAGTAATAAAAGGTATTGATCTATCATATTGATGATAAAATAAATACAAGAAACATGATTTGATCTTTTTATTAGTGTCAGCATTAAACAATATCACCATTTATGAATTAATTGAAAAATATAATAGTATGGTAAGAGTGCCTAATGCATATAAACTGCATCGTTCTAGTAGTCGTATTCATGAAATAATTGATGACGAAATAAAAATTTCAAATAATAAACAAATGATTATTATCGAGTATACACCAACAATAATAAAAGATACATGGGAATTCTCAAACGAAAAAGTTAGTTTTAGTTTTAAATGTAGAAATACATTAAAAATTCTGTTCTGATCAGCGATTATTTATGAAAACAAGTGTAGTTGAGAACGATTTTTTAGTTTACAATTTTACAAATAACACTTTAGAATAACAAAGCTGAAAGATATACGTGATTTTCATATTTAAGTTCTTATGAAGTTGTGCTAACTAGCTTTGTCTATTTAATCAAATAATAGTCCAATATATTTTTCTTTTTTCTTCAGTAAGCACGACATACTTCACATTACTATCATTATATTGATAAATATTTAATTGTGTTATTCACAAACAGTTTATTCTTTAAATTTTTTTTTCTGAAACAACTGTCTTAAACAATATCAGATGAATAATTAATATTTTTGGGTGTGAGTGTAGGTAAAGAGGAATAGCAAACACGAATAGTTACACCCACACCCACACCCACACCCACACCCACCCCCACACCCACCCACACCCACACGCACACCCCACACCCACCCACCCCCACACCCTCATACTTTGGGGTGTGCGTGTGAGTGTATGGGTGGGTGTTGGTGTGGGTGTGGGTGTGGATTTTATATCTCTTCAATACCGCACACCCCACACCCACATCCACACCCGACCCTAATTTCGTTTTACGCTGACTCGAACAAGTATCTGAATCAAAACCAATCGATGGGTTCTCTAGCAGAGACAAAGCCTAGATATTGACGAGCTACACCCACTCTCAATTTCATATCATAATCATTTTGAACAATCAATTCAGTGCTGAATTTTTATTGAGGGAAGAGAAAAGGGAATAAAGTTTCAAATATTGAAGTGTGTTTTCTGTTATTTTTAGAACTGTTGCCTAAGTGAACCATTCCAGTTGACAGATCGATCGCGTCTGCCTGCTTGCAAATCATTGTCACTTTTGTATACTTCATAGTGAAGATCACTGTTCTCTCCATTGAAGTGAGACAAATCTACCACGTAAAATTGACGTTTTTTCTTGCCCTTGGTGCATTCATAGACGTATTTATGAGACGGGTTATGGTAATACTCTTCCGTGAAGTAGTCAGGATTACGCATTGGGGTGGCCTCGTAATTAGGTGGCAGCTCCTTCTTTCGGGCTTCATCTATAGCAGTTTCATTGCGCTCGTAAAATACTTCCACTGACCTGTGGATTTGATTCATCCTAGAGAGAAATGTATATTAATATATAGTCCTGGAAAAAATAACTGTTCTTCTGTATTTCAAGGATATCGTTCCTGTAAAGTTATATTTTTCAAAAAGTAATGACATATTCTGAAAGTGCATGGGGTTCTCTATCAACCTGTACATTTTCATTTTTGTCTCCACTTACATGCTAAAAAGTAAGTTAAATATAATGAAAGGACCCTCATTGTCAGATTTCGATAGACTGAATTTTTGGGGGTTTTGAAAACGTCCATCACAATAAAAACAGATTTCTACAAAACTATTTACATATGCTGATAGGGCTTGAAATTCTCCATCATTCTGTATATTGACTCTTTTTCTCGCGTTTACTTGTTGAAATATAATTTCAGTACATTGAACCTATCTTTAATTGGCAAATAACAACAATCCGCGTTTTTTTCCATTTTTTCGTTTTTTCTCTTGTTCTCAAATAGTTTTCCTTATAGGAATAAATTTTTACAGAAGACATCAGACATTCTGATAGCGCATGAAATTCTTTATCACTCTATATATATATGTGGTAGTTGAGTTTAGAATTTAGTTGAGATTGGAATTGATGCTACAGCTTTGTTAGTTTGATGAAAAGTTTTGTCGATAAATAAATAAGAATATTTGTTTTTCGTTTCGAAATTTAGTTAAATTGTTATTATTTACGATTCAGTTGATAAATATGTACAAAATATTGGTATGCGAGTGTGTGATCATTTAAACAAAGATTGGTTATTGAATTGTATTATAATAAGATTTTGATATAATAAATGTGAATTTGTGTTCTTTTATTGATTAGTGCACGTGATGATTTAAATGTTTTCTTTGTTATTAAAGTAAACGATTTCTTTTACGAGTCCGACATTTAATAAGTTATTGTATGAAAACTTTAAGTATGAGTATTTAATCATCTGGATATTTAATTTTTTGTTTTGATGTCGGAAAAATGTGGATTTACGAATACTGGATGATTGTTTGAATTGAAATTTTAAAGACAATACGTTTTACTATCTATATATTTGAATTATTTGTTTGGTTGAGGGGGACATGGGGACATTCAGCAATTTGTTGAAACGAATTCTAGAATGAATTAGTCATCTGTAGTATTTTATACTATGATATATTTCGAGCAGGGGACATGGAGCCATTCAACCATTGGTTGAAATGAAGCCTAGAATGAATTTAGTCATCTATAGCATTCTTTATCGTGATAGATTTCGAGCAGGGTGACATGGGAATATTCAGCGATTGGTTGAAATAAAATTAGCAGTTTTCGAGCTATAGTATTTGTTTAAGGTTGACTTTCTTTGAGAAGCTGAGATACGCAATTGTTAAATGATAGGTATGATATTTGAAACTATGGTGATAACTGTCGCAGATGTGGAACGAAGTTATATCCGCTCTTAGCGTGATCGTGAACATCATTCATTTATCAAAGAACAGGAAAGAAATCTCAGGACTCAAGAACTAAAAATCGTCAAAAATCTAAATTATCTCTGAAAAAAATATCTAAACAAATAAAAAATAATTCCTCTGCTTGTCGAATCACGTAGAGTCGCTAAAATCGCAAGTTTATCAATAAAAAAACAAATAAACATTACTTATCGTGTGACACGAGCTATTTAACTCGCATTCCAAACTCAACTGAATTCTAATGTCAACTGTGCCATAGAATTCAAAATGTACAATTCAGATAGTTCCGTTGGTCCGAAGTCTTCTAATTCAAAAAACAGGGGTATGTGGTGGGACATACAGAATGCAGAATGGAGTGTATTTTTTAGTGTGCCTCAGTGGATAGCAAATTGGTGTACGTTTTTGAAATGCAGTTGTCTCCTAAGATCACTGGTTTCACATTCTCGCTTTGCTAAATATAACCAGATTGGTAACAGAGTTTTTATTTTCAAAATTCAGTTTGAAATTAAACTGCCCATAGACTCAAAGAGACTAATTTCAAATGAAATAAACTTACTTGCTGTAGTTGTGCGAAAAAATATGTGGTGTAGAATGGAATAACGGTGGTAGTATATCAATATTGTGCCTTCCTTCAAAGTATAAAAATATGATGTTGCTTTTATAAATGTTTGCAAACTGTTCTTATTTTTTTGATCACTCATGCATTACATGATATGACTGCACACGTTGTCTCAATCAAGTATTACATACTTTTTTCGAGAAAATTACCTTTCTTTTCCTTCTTCTGCCTTTCATTACTCGAACAGTACAAGAAATTGCTAGGTGTAATGATTCATATTATCATCAAAATGTGTGTTGTACCAAAGATTCATTTGGTTTTTTCCCACTTGTAGCATGTAGTAGAAAAAGCTTGTTGGTGCGCCCCCTTTGGGACTAAAATGTGGAACTCACATAATTTCTACAATTTCATTATACTAACATCGATAGAATATACGTAAAGCAAAATAGCTGTATCACACTATAGTTGTTTTCGAATACAGGGTGTGG